TTGCTAGGTACACACTGAAATACCTGTGAGTTTTACTGGACAAATGAATCCAGTCTGTCCATGGACAATTGTACATGGCTAGAAAAGACTTTTATTGCCATCTCAATATAGGCTGAAATTGGCAATGGTTTTTAGTAATCATAAGTGATGGGGCTTATCTTTTAGTTGTATGTCATTATAGTTTGTATCGTTGTTGTGGCCTGTGGATGCAGGGCTCTGCTCTACTTGCTAAGGGATCACAGATGCACAGAGTGTACAGTGAGGAATCCTAAAGGGATGCATTGTTGGGGCAGGCCCCAAATGGCTAAGCTCCCTTGCTGAGGCTTCTGTCCGTTTATGTTATATTTTTAGTGTGTAACCAGGGCTAAAAATCAGCTGTTATGGTTAGTCAAGGTCATAAACACTCTTGATTCAGCATATACTCAAGGTCATAAACATTAACTTGTGAGCATGTACCCAATAATGTAACCTGTTTTGTTCCTTCTTTGTTTAGCCTGTATATAAAAAGAGCCTATGAAAAAGACATGGGGGCTAATAGGTGGCTAAATGGAACTGATCAGGGGCTAAAACTGAAGCTGGAGGCTAGAGGCTATTATTACCTCTGAATAAAGCATGTCTACCATCCTAATGCATCTTCTTCCCCTGCTGGGATGCCAAATCTATTTCCTGGGTCAGAGCCTCCATACAACAAGAGTTTAATGTTCAAAAAATTTAAATTGTTTGATATGATCAGTTTCTATAAATTGGTACAATTTAAAGCAAGAATTCTGCTAATTTGTCAAATAAACCTGAATTTTCAGATCTATGTATCATAAATATCTGTTGTATGAAAGGAATAAAAATGAGAGTCCATCCTAATTTAGTGTTTTTCTGCACTGCCTTGAATCTAGATTCAACTAACATTTACAAAATGAGGATAGTTTTGGAAAATGGAAATATACAGAAAACTCAAAACTATTTATTATTTTCTACTCCATCATTAATCAACCTGCTTACCAGAGCTGTTAAAATGAACTGAATCACCAGGCACGGTGGTGTACACCTGTAACCCAGTGGCTCAGGAGGCTGAGGCAGGAGGATTGTGAGTTCAAAGCCAGCCTCAGCAAAAACAAGGTGCTAAGCAACTCAATGAGACACTGTCTCTAAATAAAATACAAAATAGGACTGGGGATGTGGCTCAGTGGTCCAGTACCCATGAGTTCAATCCTCAGTACCCCCACCCCCAAAATGAAGTGATTCAAATTTTCCCTTCTCTCTTCATACCCAGAAGAAAAGGGATGCTTAAAGAACAGAGTTATTATAATGAGCAAAAAGAAACTGGAAACTATCCAAATCACCCTGAATAATCTATAAGCTCTACTAAAAATATCTTCTGCTTATACTATAGATTATTTACTGCTCATCTTTGTTCCTTCACACAGTTGTATATGTTTCTGTCATTTATATATGTAGATTATTATTTCTATTTTTTTTTTGCTTCATTAGATTGCAGATCCCTAAACATGTAAAAGGTTAAAATTCTGGTTTTCGCCAGAATACTATGCTGTGTCCATGGCTTTGACAGATATACTGAGTCAGAGAATTTGCCAACTTGACAACATCATGTTATATAGACCTAGTTTATCAATTATTTTTGTTTGTTTACTATATCATTGCCAGCAGCAGGCGTCATACAATAATCAGGAACATTCACCTAGACTAATCTGAACCTTTTTCTCCCAACAACTAACACTAAACTAACCTCCACATTCAGTTGCCTAAATCAGGAATCTGATTTTTTTTAATATAGCCTAGACTCAGCAACTCTAGTTAACTTCTTTTCCTCTATGAAAAAAAGGTGATTTTAATCTCTAATCCCTCAACAGCCCTGAATGTGAGCATACAGATTATTTATGCAATTCCTTAAGTGTTCTGATAAGCAATTTCTTAAGTCCTAGCAAAAACCTTATAATCTATTTGGTGCTACCAATTCCAATGTTTCCATGTAAAATTCCTTATCATGGCAAAAGTACATAATACAAAAGTTATCTATTCATGTACTGGACAAACATAGAGATCCTACTTGTTGAGATCCTATTCGTTGAGATACTACTCTGAGCCAGACACTGGCCCTAAACAAGACAAGCAAAGCCCATCACTTTATGGGTTTAAATTTTAGAAGAATAAGTTTGCCACACACGTAAGATAGAGCACTAATCTCCAAGATATATAAAGAACTCAAAAAATTTAACACCAAAAAAGAAATAACCCAATCAATAAATGGGCCCAGAAGCTGAACAAACACTTCTCAGAAGATATACAAATGATCATCAAATATATGAAAAAATGTTCAACATCTCTAGTAATTAGAGAAATGCAAATCAAAACTAAGATTTCATCTCACTCTAGTCAGAATGGCAGTTATCAAGAATACAAACAACAATAAGTGTTGACGAGGATGTGGGGGGAAAAGCACACTCATTCATTGCTGGTGGGACTGAAATTTGGTAAAACCAATCTGGAAACAGTATGGTGATTCCTTAGAAAACTTGGAATGAAACCACCATTTGACCCAGCTTGCCCACTCCTTAAAAACAGCATACTACAATGACATAGTCACTTCAGTGTTTATAGCAGCAGCACAATTAACAATTGCTAAACTGTGGAACCAACATAGATGCTCTTCAATAGATGAATGGATAAAGAAACTATGGTGCATATATACACAATGGAATATTACTCAGCATTAAAAGAGAATAAAATTATGGCATTTGCAGGTAAATAGGTGGAGTTGGAGAATATCATGCTAAACAAAAATAAGCCAATCCCCCCAAAACAGGGTCCAAATGTTTTCTCTGATAAGTGGATGCTAATCCATAATGTGGGGGGCATGGGATGAATGGAGAAAATTTTATGGGGCAAAGGTGGGGGGAGGGGGCAAAAAGATAGAAAAGGTAGTAGAATGAGACAGACATCATTACCCTAGCAAGGTACATGTATGATTTCACGAATGGTGTGATTCTGCTTCATGTACAACCAGAGATGTGAAAAATTCTGTCCCATTTGTGTACAATGAATCAAAGAGCTTTCTACTGTCATGTATAACTGATTAGAACAAATAAAAGAATTTTCTCAACAACTAAAAACTGAATAAAATTAGAACATCACAAAATAATTGGCCTAAAGTCATACCGATAGCACTATAAATATTTGTCATGCAATTCACTTTTCCATTCTGTTTGCTGTTTTAATTTTTACCTTTCTGTTTTGCCTGGTTCATTTTTGGTGTGCCCTACATATAAAGTCAATGATTTCTGTGTTCATGGCACAAAAACCAAAGACCTTAATTGAATCTACAGGGTGCAACCTAAATAATTTGGTCACTGTTTACCTTTTCCACCTTTCCTTTTTCCACACTCACCTGTACTTTAAACTCAATGACCTTCTTTTGATATCTCTCATATATCATATTATTTCCACCTAGGGCTTTGGCCATGTACTATTTCCTTCCCTAAGCACAATCTGAAAGTCATTCATTTATAAAAGCCTTTTGTTTAACTTTATTTTTGTTTATTTATTTTTTATATGGTGCTGAGGATTGGCATCATATGAGCGGGGCAAGTGCTCTACAGTGAGCCACAACCCCAGTGAAAAGCCTTTGTTGATGTCTGAAAAAGTCAGGATTGATAATTATACTCTGAGCTGGTGAGACTGCAAATTGGTGCGGCCAATTTGGAAAGCAGTTTGGAGATTCCTGGGAAAGCTGGGAATGGAACCACCACTTGACCCTGCTATTGCCCTTCTCGGACTATTCCCTGAAGACCTTAAAAGAGCATGCTACAGGGATGCTGCCATATCGATGTTCATAGCAGCACAATTCACAATAGCTAGACTGTGGAACCAACCCAGATGCCCTTCAATAGATGAATGGATAAAAAAAAAATGTGGCATCTATACACAATGGAGTACTATGCAGCAATAAAAAATGACAAAATCATAGAATTTGCAGGGAAATGGATGGCACTAGAGCAGATTATGCTTAGTGAAGCTAGTCAATCCCTAAAAAACAAATACCAAATGTCTTCTTTGATATAATGAGAGCAACTATGAACAGAGCAAGGAGGAAGAGCAGGAAGAAAAGACTAATATTTAACAGAGTCATGAGATGGGAGGGAAAGGGAGAGAAAAGGGAAATTGCATGGAAATGAAGGGAGACCCTCATTGCTATACAAAATTACATATAAGAGGTTGTGAGGGGAATGGGAAAATAAACAAGGAGAGTAATGAATTACAGTAGATGGGGTAGAGAGAGAAGAAGGGAGGGGAGGGGAGGGGAGGGGGGATAGAAGGGGATAGGAAAGGTAGCAGAATACAACAATTACTAATTGGGCATTATGTAAAATTGTGGATGTATAACCGACATGATTCTGCAATCTGCATTTGGGGTAAAATTGGGAGTTCATAACCCACTTCAATCTAATGTATGAAATATGATATGTCAAGAGCTTTGTAATGTTGTGAACAACCAATAAAAAATAAAAAATTAAAAAAAATTATACTCTGAGAGGGCCTTGTGCTTTATTTACTACTCATCATATTAAAATTATTTAATTTTTGTGTATCCATTTAATACCATTTTCCCCTATTAGATTATTGGTTATATAAGGGAAAAATCTATGTTCATTTTGCTCATTATGGAAGCTCTCAAAAATTGACAGACTAATATGTTATTAATTTAAAAACACAGAAACCATCTCCCAACCCAATTTCTTCTATTGATGTATATATCTGCTTCCCTTTTTAGCAAAGCTTCAGGAAAGATCTGTTTATACAGAGTTTTTGATTTATTTCCTTGTCTCTCTTTAGCTAATACCAATGGGGCTTTCATCTCAACCATTCCACTGGAATTTATTTTATCTAATGGCTTCCACATCCACTAAATATAAGGATCAACTCATTATCTTAACTTGATAATCAGTATCATCTGACAGAATGAATCACTCCCTCCTTGAGCCACTCACCTCAATAGGATTCCAGGATAACACACACTCTTGGTTTTCCTCTCACCTTTCCAAAGGTGTTTCCTTCCAGATTCCTTTTCAGGTGCTACCACTTTGACCAGAGATAAATAAGAAATGCAATAACGTTTTCTAAAGCTTTGTAATAACTTGGCAGTAAATTTTAGATATAGAATTAACACTAAAACTAGAAACAACAAAAACTGTAGCCAAATTTGAGGAAGTGTGTTGACCAAGAAAAAAGTTTTTTTTTTTTTTTTTTTTTTTTAATTCAGGCAAACAAATCACCCCCTTATAAGGTGGGTGAGAACTTTCTGTTAGGTATTTATTCAATTGTAAATATTTACTATAAATAATTACAGACGGCTTCCTGCTCTCACTTTTTCTACCTATAATTGTTCATCTAATATATTCTTTGCTCATTGCCTATTGAAACCCCCTCCACAGTCAATCAAATGATTGCTCTAAAATCCAGCCTCTTTAAACAAAAATTTTCCCCAACTTCTACACACCTATTTTGTATTTCTATAATGTTTTCAAATGAACAAAGTAAATTAACAAGAATGATACCATAGCTATACTTATTTGTTGCAGTAGTGGGAATTGAGCCAAGGGGGCAATCTACTGCTGAGCTACAGCCTCATTCCTTTTTATTTTCAGTCTCTTGCTAAATTGCCCAGATAGCCCTCAAACTTGTCATCCTCCTGCCTCATCCTTCCATGTTGCTGAGATTATAGGCATGCCACCACGCCTGGATCAATAGCGATATACTTTTTACAAAATAATTTTGCAAGCTGGGTATGGTGGTGCACACCTGTAGTCAGCAGCTCTGGAGCCTGAGAAGGAGGATCCTTAGTTCAAAGCCAGCCTTAGCAATTTAGGGAGACCCTGTCTCTTAAAAAAGGGGGGGATATGGCTCAATGGTTAAGTACCCCTGTATTTAATACCTGGTACTACTACTATGACTACTACTAATTTTCCCTACCATAAACAACCTAGGGAATGAATTAATTTTCTATATTATTGTGTCCAAAATTCTGATGGCAAATACAGACTAATTAACTTAGAACTTCCTGATAACAATTACAGCTATTACTCTAAGGTTAGAACTCAAAGTATAGTCACAGGACCCATTGAGGTCTCCAAGAGTCTTTTTTGATGTCTGCAGGGTTCTTTTATTTTCTATGTTATATTCATTAGGTCTGATTTTCTTCACACACTTCATTTAAAACATCACATTATAAGCCTATGTGCAGAAGTCAGGAAATTTAAGAATATAAAATAATATTCTCACTAGTTTCAATTTGTAAGCTGTAGTTTTTTAAATACAATTTTATCTACTTAACATTCAATGGGGGGCTAGGGATGTGGCTCAAGGGGTAATGTGCTCGCCTGGCATGCACGGGGCACTGGGTTCAATCCTCAGCACCACATAAAAATAAAATAAAGTATCCACCGAAAACTAAAAAATAAATTTTTTTAAAAAAATGCAATGGGTTTATTCTTGATATTTTCAAATCCATTAATACATATTTTAAACATTTCTCAATTGAGCTGGGCATGGTGCATGCCTGTAATCCCAGCTCTACTGGAGGCTGAATCAGGAGGATTATAAATTCTAGACCAGTTGCAGCAATTTAAGGAAACTTTCAGCAATTTAGCAAGACCCTGCCTCAAAGCTAAAAAAGAAAAAAAGGATTGGGGACTTAGCTCAGAGGCAAAACTCTCTTAGGTTCAATCCCCAGTACCAAATAATGATAATAATGATGATGATGATGATGGTAAACATCAGTTTTAGTTTTTAATACCATAAATATCAGTAGGTATTATATATCAGATATTATTTAGCACATTAGCAAATGCTATTTGCAATCCTTAGTAATTTGTAATAGTGTGAAGGAATCCTAAGATCCTAAAGATTGTGAACCAGTGTTCTGGAAAAAAAAGGATGTTTCTTAAATAATGTCCACTGACCACCTGCACCAGAGTCATCTAGGATACTTTTTAAAAATATAAATTTTGGATTCCATAAAAGATCTACTAAGTCATAATTTCTGGCAGTAAGGTCATGAATTTACATTTTCAACTTGGCCCTCAGGTGATTCTTAGGCACACTAGTTAACAAAATCAAGTAAATAGAGTCTCATGGATTCAAAACCTAGCTCTGTGGCACACTGTTTCTAACCTAATCTATACAACTCTTAGCCAATTCCCTGCTTTTATTTCCCACTCCCCCATTTCCTTAGCCATCTTCCAAATGCATATCCTCAATAAAATAGTTGCTCATTTCCTAAGGAAGTTCAAATATGTCTGTTTATATCACTTACATTTTAGAGACAGCAATCTGAACCTTGGAAAAAGGGCACTTAAAGTTATACTTCCACTGTAGTCCCAGCTCCCTCTTCCAGAAGCTAAGACAGGAGGATTATTTAAACTCAGGAGTTCCAGGCCTGCCTGTAAAACACAGTGAAACCTCATCTCAGAAAAATAAATTAAAAAGAAAATAAAGTTGCATTTCCATAGGAAGTACACTGCTTTTATTTAGACCATTTCATTCTCGGTGGCAGTGAGGTGGTAATAGCATTAGGAAGTTTATTCTCAGAGCAGAGGGCAGGGTAGGGGCTCAAGGGGATAATGTCTCCCAGGCTACTCTTGTCATCACCACTTACCTATTCACTTTTGCTCATGAACAGAGAGGACCTCCTCAGAAGAGTTTATTTTCTGTTTTTCAACCAGGAAGCACATAGTACGGCGAAGCTGGCAACCATTTTGTCTTCCCTCACCCCTAGGCCTGTCTACTTTCTCACTGCCCCCTTAAGATTTGAATACTCAGTCCTGACCAATCATACACCTGAAACTGATTATGGTGTTGCCAATACTGTCAATTAACAGAAACCTGAAAGAAACCAATGAAATTTTGCCAAGCAGTGAACCAAAACCTTTGAGAATCATAAAGTTATTTTAAATTAGCAAAGTTCTCTGTAGAACAGTGCTGCTTAAGATTTATCAGGGTCAGAATCATATCCTCTTTTTTAAAAATATCGTTTGTGGTGCTCCATTCCAGATCAAGTGTATCAGAATCTCTAGGAGTAGGATCTAGTAATTTGTAATTTAAAAGAATTTCCAGACTAGGGGTTTAGGTTTAGGGCTAGAGCAGTTGCCTAGCAAGCCCAAGGGCATGGGCTGGATTCCCTAGCATCCAAGAACAAAAACAAAACAAAACAAACAAACAAAAACAAAACAAAAAAAACAGGGAGGGGATTCTCAGGTAATTATGTCATAAACTAAAGTCTAAACCATTACCATCAAGAAACAATAAACAGGGGTTTATTGTTTCATCAAGAAACAATAAACAAGGGTTGTGCTTATTGCTCAATCTTAGAGTATTTGCCTAGTAAGTCACTGGGTACAATCCTCAGCACCACAGAAAAATAAATAAAATAAAGATATTGTGTCCATCTACAACTAAAACATTATTTTTAAAAAAGAAACAATAAATAGGAAACATTCCCATATTCTCTGTCATTATCTAGTTATTTTATTCAAGGCAAATTATGGATGATGTTACCTATGTAATCTTCCATTTAGACTTATATTTGGTTCTTTCCATGGAAACACTATGTGTTATTCTATCAGTTTGCCAATAGTATCAGGATCCATGAAGCTAATTTATAGTACATTAAGTCACAAGATATAGAAGTATAAATCAGAATGTCCATTCTTTAGCTTATAATGGGATATATGGTAAAGACAGGGATGCTAGATTTGAGAACCAGAAAGTTCTGTGTCTATTAGAGGCAATACATACAAAAAAAATGTATAATCAGAGATTTCCTTGTTGAACCTGAAATTATTAATGGGAATTCAGTAGCTATTCTTAGTGATTTCTGCCTCAAGATTCAATATTATTTACTTACCTATCCCTACCATTGGGATGAGGATTGGGGCATTCCAGTTTGCTAACCCAAGCACTTTCTTTCCTAGACAATGCTGGAAACACACAACTAGCTTTCTGACTTTCCCCTATATAGCAAATTTCTATCTAGTAATCCAATCTCTCAATTAGATTTTACCTTTCAAATTTATAATCATGGTATATATATATGCCTCCTTTAGAATCAAATAAAATTGTATTTCCATATCAAATTATCTACTCAAAAGCAGAAACCTGGGTTAATTTTGCAGGCAGTTTTTCTCACTGGGGATTTTAATTTTTCCTAATTCACCTAATTTATGGCTCAATCATATTAGTTTTACAAAACACACAGAATTTCTAAAATAAAAGTAGTAAATTTTAAGTTCTTAAGAACATTCACTATAATATCTGTACCTAATCATGGTAAAAGTGTACGGGCAGAGATTTTACATTGTAAATGTTATAGTAACTGTAGAATAATTTCAAACTGTTTCAAAGATATTTTGAATGAATTTATAATGAATAAAAATATACAATATATTTTGCAAAAGATGTCAATTATATTGCCATATTCATCTTTTTGCATCTCTACAGTAGTTTCTTTTGATCTTTCCCTAACCTTCTAAACATAGTAAGATGATTTCTGTTCTGCTAACCCAATGGTTTGTTTATTCTCTAGTTCCGTTTTTTCCTTTCCTTTTTAAAGAAAATAACTCCCCTGTTTTTTGAAAGACTTAATACATAGGAAGTGTTTATTATACTAGATACAATCACCATTTGAATTGGATAAAGATTATATTTATGGTCCATTTATCTAGATAATTTATTGCTCAATCTTTGTCCAAGATTTTTAGATTATGAAAATGCTTCAAAAGGAAAACCTGAAGGAAGCAAATACTTATTGTTACTAATGCTTAAAATACATTAAACACTAGTTGTAAAAATTAACAAAAGTAAATTAATACTAAAATGCATGGATATGTGTTGCACTGAGGAGGGCTTTGGACTTCAAAAAGGGTTCTAGTGCTGCATCTCACCTATACTTCTTGTATTACTATAAGCTAGTCTTTATATTAATAAAATAAATTGGCTCTATTTTAAAATAAGTCCAGTATTAACATTAATATAATATGAAAGTTGGCTCTAATTTGTAGGTTTTTATGAAAACCAAATGTGATACTAACCATACTTCAGAATGATAAATGTGTTGTACTGATATAATTTCATATTGTTAGAATTGTTACTATTAACAATTATTGCTGCATGTGGTGAAGCACACCTGTAATCACAGTGATTCAGGAGGCTAAGGCTTGAGGATCGCAAATTTGAGGTCAGCCTGGGCAACTTAGAAACAGCCTGTATCAAAATAAAAAATAAAAAGGTCTGGGGGTACAGCTCATTGGTAGAGTATCCCTAGGTTCTATTTCCAGTACCAAGAAAAAGACAAAAATAAACAAATGTCTTTGTATCATAAAACGGTAAAAGGAGACCCATATAACTCTAACAAAAATTCCAAAGAAATTTTTGAAATTAGAGAACATATATCTGAATGACATTACACACACACACACACACACACACACACACACACACACACATATACACAGTTCAGCTTTCAGTAGGGTCATATAAATAAAATAGATTGCTATGTAAATATTGTATACTGCTTGCATCCAGCTTGCACACACTATTTAATTGGCACAGCTTAGTAAATATTATGTCATAGGTCTTTTGGAGTTGGAAGTAATTGGAACACAAATGCTCATAAAAATACACAGATTGTAAAATTTCTGGATACAATTAGTCAAGGAGATGAGAAAATCATCTCCCTAAACAGAACTATAAATCCGGACAAAAAACCATTTCATCACTCTGGAAATTAACCAAAACATACATCCATTTGAGAAGCATTTTTACTTGAAACATCACTGACCTCGGATTTTAAAAAAAGTGAGTATGTGTGTCCCAGAGCTTCTCCCATACTCACTACTCCCAGCTTATTCAGTTTAGAAGTTCTACTATGACTTTTATGCTGAAAACTACAAAGCACAGCTTAGAGAAATATCTAAATCAATGGAGAGAGAATTCATTTATGCTCTTGGATTAGAAGACTCAAACTATCCAAATGGCAATTCTCCTCAAAATGATTGATAAATAGAGCTCCTATCAGAATTCCAACTGGCTTCTTTGCACAAATCTATAAGTAGATAATACAATTTATATAAAAGTACAAAAGATCCAGAATATCTACAACAATATTAAAATAGTCTTCATGCCATATACAAAAAATTAACTCAAAATAGATCATAAGCCTAAAAGACTCAAATGTATGTGCTAAAATTATAATATTCTAGTCAGTATAGGAGACAAGTTCCATGGGCTTAAGTTGGGAAAATATTTTTAGAAACAAGATTTAAAACATGATTAATTGGAGCTAGAAGTGATGGCACATACTGTAATCTGAGCAACTTGGGAGCCTGAGGCAGGAGGATGACAAGTTTGAGGACAGTCTGGGCAAGTTAGCAAGACCCTGTCTCAAAATTTAAAAAAACAATAAATAAATTAAAAAGACTTGGAATTGAGCTCAGTGGTAAAGCACTCCCGAGTTTAACCTCAAGTACCATAAACAACAACAAACCATGATCCATATAAAAAATTTGATAAATTGAACTTCATCAACTTTTGCTTCTCAAAAGTCATTATTAAAAAAATTAAAAATGCAACATTCAGACAAGGAAATAATATTTGCAAACCACAGCTGTAATAAAGGGCTTGTATCCAGAATATTTGAAAGAATCTCATAACACATTAATAAAACCATTTGTAAATGGGTAAATGATTTGAATACATATTTCACCAAAGAAGGCATACATATGACTAAACATAAAAAGATATTCAGCATCATTAATCATCAAGGAAATGCATGTAAAAGCCCCATATCTGTTAGAATGACTATAAAAAATGATACCAGCATCCATCCATAATGAGGGTGTGTGTGGGGAGAATGGAGGAAATTTGAGCAAAGCGGAGGAGGGAGGAGGAGGAAGCATGGGGGCAGGGATGATGGTGGAAGGAGATGAACATCATTACCCTAGGTACATGTATGACTGCACATGTGGTGGGACTCTACATTATAACAACCAGAGAAATGAAAAGTTGTGCTCCATTTGTGTACAATGAATAGAAATGCATTCTGCTATCATGTATAACTAATTAGAACAAATTTTTAAAAATGGTACCAAGTGTTGACAAGGCAGTGGAGAAAGTGGACCTCTTGTACATTGCTGATGGGAATGTAATATGATACAGCCAGTTTGAAAAACATTTTATCAGTTTCTTAATAAGTTAAACACAACATTTCCCTATGTTAAGGTTTAGATGTGGTATCCTCCAAAAGCTCATGTGTGAGACAATTTAAGAAAGTTTGGATGAGAAACGATTGTGTTATAGCCTTAAGCTAACCAGTAGATTAATCCCTGATGGAATGAACTGAATGGTAACTATAGACAGGTGGAGTGGGGCTATAGAAAGTGATTCA